GTATTTTAAAATAATTTCTGCTTTGATGAATTGCCGGGTAGTCCGCGATTGCTCATAATCAAAGGGAGGAAAATGCAAATGAGAGCCAGCCGAGAACTCGCGGCACCGAGCGTTTATTTCACTGCGCAGTGCCAAAAAGAATTAAAACAACATTAAACTCCCAGCAATAATGTTTAAGTCCTCGTTTCCAAGTGCCAAATTGCACCACTCTGGATCATACAGATGTTCGTTAATTATGCTAATTTTTATTAAACTATTAAAAAGAGGAGTGCACTGGCACAGCAAGGCAGAGCCCAGTGCAGGGTGAACTCTGCTCTCGTCTGGAGGTGCTAATTTACATCTTGCTAACGTGCTGGTGCCTGCTACCAGGTTTTGGAGGGGGGTGAGGAGAAGGAGGGAGCTTGAGGATGGTTTTGCTGGAATCTACCTAATTACACGCTAATGGGGCCTCCGTGCCCAGTACCTGCCTGGACTGTGTTAAGGGAGGGGGAAGTAATTTAGCTGAGACTTTACAGAAGGGACTGGAAACCCACTAATCGGGAGGATAATTGCTCCAGCGAGGTCGGTGGGCCCTGAGCATGCCGGTACGGCAGCATCACGAGAGGGGAGCGGGATGCTCTGCCCCCTCCACCCACTTAACTTTCATCAGATGCTGCGCGGCAGGAGCTCGGCAGGGTGCTGCCTCCAGCACCCATGGGTGCTGATGCCATGCCAGGAGCCCCTGGCACGCAGCAGCGGGCATCAGCCAGGAGGCAGAGCAAAGCCATCGCTCTGCCCCGTCCCCAGAAATGCAGCAGGACCGAGCAAACTGGGAACCCAGTGCCCTTTCCAGGCTGGCAGGTAACAGGGAACTGGATTTGGGCGTCACCCCAACACCCCGGCGGCCATCCTCCCGGCCCAGCCATCCTCTACACGGCCACGACGGCCTCGCTCTGCTCCCGAAATGGTGTGATTTTCTCCCAGAAGGAAGAAAACCCCTCAAAGCACTTCGCCGCGTTTCGTTCCCGAGATCCCCGGTGCCAAGCGAACCTGAAGCAGACGCTCGTTCAGATAATCACCCGCAATGGGGGCTTTTATGGCGGGTTGGTGCACGGGGCTGTAAAAGGCTTTATGCTGCTAATCTCCATCGACAAGGGAGAAGGAAAACGGGGGAAAAGAAACAAGACG